AAAATGTTGAACTGCTTCAATTTGGTTACCTGCCACTATATAACAAATGTGCAGTATATTTACCAAAAGTATGTTACCAGCCCATTTAAACCTGGAAATCCATCACCTTAATATATGTCTCCTTTGCTCTGAAGCATTAAGTCAACTAAAGTATGTAAAAATAAAACAAAACAACGGTTCAGCAGTAAAATAAACAGATGTCCAGAGCTTTTCTTTGTTCACTCAGCACAGCTTTAGCTAAGTGCATTTTGTGGAAAACGGAAAACTGTTTTAGTTTGCCTGTTTGATGGAATAAGGAGCTTCTGTGGATACTGTCAACATAACTCAAGTGCTGCTTGTTGCAAATTGTCTCCTTAAATTATGATCAGATTACATTCCTTTTCACACTGCCACATCTGCCATGCACTAAATAGACCAAAATATTTGTTACCCCTATAGTCTGGATAACTATAGTAAAGCATGTAACAAATTAAAATCAATACTACGTAAAAATGACTTAAGTAGCAATTTACTATCTTTCACATGTGGTTAACAACCACTCTTTGTCTTCTGCCCCCAGTCAGTTACTTACATACATTTTCCACTAGTCACGCAACATTTACTTCTGGACTTGGCTAATGTGAGAAACATTATTATTATTACTCAGGCAGCATTTCCAATATCCATATTTGAACTTCCTTCCTCATTACAGCTGATCATATTAAACATGATGTTTCATCTACCTATGCCAATTCTCTGCCGCAGAGCACAATAACATTGTGGGCGATTCCCCCAATGTCAGGACAAAGTCACCTAGCGCCCAGAGCAAAGATGCCAAACTGACATAAGAGTTTTTGAATACAGGAGTGCTGAACTTGCAGGAAAGAGGAGGGGGAAAGAGAACACATCCCACATCACCTTCCGGCTCTCTCCTCCTCTCTTTGCCAATCCCAGAGCTGGGCTGAGAGGAGTAGTGATGCCTCTGTCTCTACTCCTGTCAGCCTTAAAACAGAAAGATGGCTCCCCCCCATCCATGCAATAGATCATTGTGCCCAGGGTAGCCACGCCTCCTGCCCACCCCTTTTCTGGGCCCTGGATTCCCCCATCAACACTGACTGTGCTGTAGGGGGAATCAAGCTATTTTTCTCCTTCCACTGGAAGGAAAGAAAATCACATAATCTATGGGCTGCTTTGGACTATGAATACTGTATGTTGTGAATACACAATAAACAGCAGTAGGCTAAATTGCCTATGATGGTAAAGATAGTCACAGCACAGCCATACATCACTGCAGAAAACCTGGTGTCTACCTATAGCATGTTAGTGAAGAAATGTGAATTTTCAATTATAAGAGTTACATGAAAAAAAAAGTTCCATAAAATACAGGATTATTAAAAAAAATGTAAAACGGTCTAATATAGTAAAAAAATAAGCAAGATCCCACTCAAAAATGGGCTGTGCATAAATTAAGTAATACTTGCTGATTTGATCTAAATTAGGGAAGCTCTTCATGCACAACTTCTGGCCAAAACCCGAAGCAAATAAAAATGTCAAGCTTCATAAACACAAAATCAGTAGGATGGATCATGTAAACATCCACTGGACCATACTAGTAGTTGAAAATCTCCCATAAGACTCAACAAGGAACAGTGAAACTCACATTTCATGGCTGTGATTGTAAATATTTTTTTGGTTACACTGGAGAATACTGGTGGATAAACTGGCAGTTTATACAGTGTATCTGTACGATGGAGTTGCTGTCTCCACTGAGTAAACTTTCCAACATGTGTATATCATAGCTCGTAGGTCGTGAGAATACATGCAGAGAGGTTTATGAAGACAACCATTCTAATGTCTTTAAGATTAAAACCACACCTTAATTTAGCTTCTTTATTGATTGGTATTACTTTATTATTCTCTGCGGCAGTTTATTTATTTCTCCAGTTACACAGATTCAGGATCATTAAAATACACAGGCAATTGTAATTCCTGCTGAGATTGGACCTTTGCATACAGCATCTGTAGTTTTTTTCAGCTTGACTAATTTCCCCATATATCAGAAAGTGAACTTTTGCCATCCTCCCACTGAGCATTTTGATCACCTAGCTAGAACTATGTCACACAAAGATATTTCTATGGAAAGTTTATGTTTGGAAATGTTATCCACAGCAACGCACAGCTGCCTAGGCTTTTCAGTTTTCTCTTTCTTTCACCAAAAACTTGAAGACACTGTTTATTTCCTAGTATTCTCAAAGTCTTGACCCAATAAATTAGTGGAACAACTTAAAGAAACTTGTTTTGGGAGAAATATGTAGGGTGCCACTTTTGACCTACTTTTGAAAAAAAAAAAAAGCAGCTGTAAAGCTAACCATGGCTTCAAAACGTTCTTATTTCCATGTATTCTGAGATTCCTGAACCAATAATTTAGTGGAATAACTAAACATAACCTGCTATAGGGGAAATATGCACTTCTGATCTTCATTCACACTTCCAACACTTTCTGAGATAAAGAGACCATACACTGAGCAAGCTTCATCTGGCTCCTGATCAACCATATGAAATTCATTAAGTGGATGGCCATGTCTACATCTTTTTGCCCGACATACAAGGATTGACAATTCCAAGGAGCATGGTGAAAAACTGTTGGCTGAACAGTGGTTCCATCCTGTTGAGACTATTGTGACTGTATAGCATGGATTTAGGAACCAGTTAGATTCTTTTTGTTCAGCTTATAGGCTGAAACAAAAATGTTATCAGTGTATGGCCAGTTTTACAGACAAGCATACAGCAAGTGAAAATTATAAATGAAAGTGTAAATTCTTGCACTTTTAGTACACTGTTCAAATTCCCTATCCCCCATTCACCCATACCCTCCCACGTCCCAAGACAAACAGACATTCTGAGCGCATTTGCAATAATTTATACTACTATTGTTGAAATGGAGACTTGGAAAAAGTTTGGTCAAAGAGTAAGGATCTCAAAAAAAATTCCAACTGAGGGAAGTACTGTATTTTATTCATTTTAATAATACTTATTACACTTCATTTGTCTTTAGCCAAGGGCCCAGTTGTAACCACAAAAGCCTTGTTCGTCTTCTGTGCTAGTATGACTATCTGCCTTTTTGTTTCAAAGTGGCCTTACACCCATGCTGCAGTGCTTAGTGTGGGTTCCTGGGAAGAACACTGACACAAGGAACTCACAAAAGTTGAACTCCAGCTGCACAACTAAAGAAGCCACAGGCTTAGCAATGCCGACTGCCCCTAGGTTATTAACCACTTCCAATCTGAGCCAATTCTGACATTCCTCTCCTACATGTAAAAGACATAATTTTTTTTTGCTAGAAAACTACTTAGAACCCCCAAACATTATACATACTTTTAAGCAGAGGCCCAGAGAATAAAATTCATATTATTATTATTATACAGTATTTATATAGTGCCAAAAGGTTTGCTCAGCGCTGTACATTATAGTGGGGGACAGTACATGAGACAGTACAGTAACAAAACAATACACGAGGGGTTCGAGGGCCCTGCTCTTTGGAGCTTACAATCTAGGAGGGAGGGGATAGTGGCTCAGGAGGAAGTGGCTGTGGGGGATGGAGTGGTAGGAGGAGTGGAGGAGATCAGCAGTTAGGTGAGGGTGGGGTAGGCCTCCCTGAAGAGATGGGTTTTCAGGGTGCGCCTAAAGGTGAGGAGGGTAGGTGACAGTCTGATGGATTGGGGTAGTGAGTTCCAGAGGATGGGGGAAGTCCTGGAGAAGTCCTGCAGTTGGGCGTGGGAGGTGGAGACCAGGGATCCAGAAAGTAGGAGGTCTTGTGAGGAGCGAAGATTACGGGTTGGGTGGTATTTGGGTATCAGGTCGGTGAGGTAGTTTGGGGCAGCGTTATGAATGGCTTTGTATGTCAGTGTTAGTAGTCTGAATTTGATGTGTTGGGCAATCGAGAGCCAGTGGAGGGAATGACAGAGGGGGGTGGCAGAAGAGGAGCGGTTGGTAAGGTGGATAAGTCTGGCCGCTGAGTTCAGGATAGACTGAAGCGGGGATAGTCTGTGATGAGGTAGGCCGGTGAGGAGGGAGTTGCAGTAGTCCAGGCGTGAGATAATGAGTGAACGAGTTGTTTAGTAGTGTCTGGGGTTAGGAACGTACGTATTTTGGAGATGTTACGGAGGTGGAGCCTGCATGAGCTTGCTAGCGATTAGACATGGGGTTGGAAGGACAGGTTTGAATTTAGAGTGACACCTAGGACTTTGGCTTGCGGGGTGGGACTGATGGAGGCGTTGTTGGTCGTGATGGAGGGGGGGGCGCGGGCTGGGGAGAAAATTAGGAGCTCGGTTTTTGAAAGGTTCAGTTTGAGGAAGTGGAGCGAAATCCAGTCTGATATGTCGTTCAGCAGGTGGGTGATACGGGCAGAGACTGAAGGGGTGAGTTGAGGGGTGCAGAGGTAAATTTGCGTGTCATCGGCGTAGAGGTGATAGTTGAAGCCGTGGGAGTGTATCAGTTTGCCAAGGGAGGAGGTGTAGATGGAGAAGAGAAGGGGCCCAAGGACAGAGCCTTGGGGGACCCCAACAGAGAGGGGGAGAGAAGGGGAGGTGGTAGCGTTATAGGTAACGCTGAAGGAGCATAGGGAGAGATAGGAGGAGAGCCAGGAGAGAGCAGAGTCTCTGATGCCGAGGGAGTGTAGTTTAGTTTATCGAGGAGAAGGGGGTGGTCAACTGTGTCGAAGGCCGTGGAGAGGTCAAGGAGTAAGGGGACTGAGTAGTGGCCATTAGCTTTGGTGGTTAGCAGGTCATTAGTGATTTTGAGTAGGGCGGTTGTGGTGGACGGAAGCCAGACTGTAGTGGATCGGGGAGGTTGTTGTCAGTGAGGTGGGAGCTTAGGCGATTGTAGATTAAACGCTCAAGTAGCTTGGAAGTGAATGGCAGAAGGGAGATGGGTCTAAGGTTGTTCAAGTCAGTGGAGTCCAAGGAGGGTTTTTTGAGTATGGGGGTGATGCACGCGTGGTTTAGGGGTGAGGGGAATGCGCCAGTAGAGAGGGAGAGATTGAAGATGTGGTTGATGAAGCATAGGATGGAGGGGGAGGGTGCCGGGAGGAGTTGTGTGGGGACAGGGTCAAGGGGGCAAGTGGTGAGGCGGGCTTCTGAGAAGAGTGTTGGGGGGGTTATGGTGTGCGGGATGTTAAGGGTGGTGGGGGGCAGGGCGGTTGCGAGGTCAGAGGAGGGGAGAGTTGGAGGGGTTGTATTGGGAGGGAGGCTAGGTGGGGAGGTAGGTGGAGCATTGGCAATGTTCTTACGGATTGCTTCGATCTTATTTTGGAAGTGAATGGCATTCTCGTAGGCGGTGAGTGAGGTACTGGGTGGGGGTGGGGGGGGAGAGAGTAGGGAGTTGAAAGTGGAGAAGAGCCGATGAGGATTGGAGGAGAGGGTGTTGATGAGGGTTATGAAGTAGGTTTGTTTGGCGGCGTGGAGGGAGGAGGTTGTCAAGGTCCTACCTTTTCCCAGAGGTTATGTTACTCCATGTGCTAGCATCCATCTTGGATTTCTGCTGAGAGATGGGAATCTTTTATGCCTTGTCTCTGAGGTCCATGAGGGGGTTGAGTACATATAAGCCTGGGATCTGCACATGCTCTTTGCACTTGTGTCTTGTGTCTTTGTCTTGCTACAGCTCTGTGTATACGCTCGTGACTCTTCTGGTATTCTGACTCGGCTTGTGACTAAGACCATTCTCTGTGTTTCCCTTTGATCTGACCTTCCGTGCTGAACCCGGCCCGTGACCTGTGATTCTCTGTCTACTGTTCTGTACTGTTTTGTCCCGTTGTTATTGACCCGGCTTGTCTGACTACGCTATTGATTTGTATTGGCGGTGGCCATTACCGAGCTGGGGTGTGCTGACCTGGTCCCTGGTTGCGTCAAGAGGGGCCCTTGAAGGGCAGCCTGGGACTTAGACTCCGCGCCCTGAGGGACTTCAGTCTGTTAGGTTGGTTGCGTCAGCCAGTGCGTTACCCTGCCACTAGGCCTACCTGTCCGTTCCACAGCACCTGCCTGACAGAGGTGTAGGTGAGGAAGGCAGATTTGTAGAGGGAGAATGCTTGAGGGGATTTGGTTTTGCGCCAAAATCGTTCCAGCGCGACGACTGCGTCGTTTAAGATGTTTAGTGTGGTCGTTCTGCCAGAGTTGAAGCGGTCGGGGTCTAATGCTACGTGTGGTTAGGGGAGCTAAAGAGTCTAGGGCAACTGATAGCGTGTTGTTATATGCAGCAGTGGCCAGGTCAGGGCATGACAGTGGAAGGATACTGTCGTACAGACAGTCAGCTGCAGAGTGGAGAGGGGCCGGGTCTGCTGGACACCTGTTTAATGAATAATTAGACTCACCTGTAGCTTAATTCTTCTTAATTAGGATTTTATTGTCTAAAATGTAGCTTTGCTCTTAAGACTTTCATTGGGGTGTTTTGTTTTTTTTTGGAACATGGCCTTGAATTAATTTTTAGGAAAAATACTTTTTTGTGTATGCAAATTAACAAATCTTGTTTGCAATCAATTGCCCGCATTTGTGGGAGTATTTTGTAGTATAATGTTACATAGAAAATGTGGATTTTGAAAGAAAAGTAAATGTTTTCTGATAAATCTGTTGGGGTGTACTTATTTATGCTGAGCACTGTATGTCCTATAATAGACAGATAGATAGATAGATAGATAGATAGATAGATAGATGATAGATAGATAGATAGATAGATAGATAGATAGATAGATAATACTACTGCATGTCTAATAAAAAAAAGGAAGTAAGAGGAGCAACTCAACTGGCAGTAATAGTATTAAACTTGCAGTGGACAGAATAGGGGGATCCAATCCAACCCTGCAGGTGCCCTCCCCGTCCTCATACACCTGAGGGAGATTCCTCATTTGCCCACCAATCTGCCTGGCTCTGCATTAAGCTCCAGTTCACACTGGGTACGGCTTTGAAGTCTCGCTCTTGTAGCGTGATTTTAAAGCCACAGATCAGTATGACTTTATGTGTGGCTTGCCAACATCTGTGTGACTTCATACACAGATGTCAATGCAAGTCATACATGAAATCACCAAAAAATAGTGCAGGAACCTTTTTCAAAGTTGCTGTGACACAAGTCGCACTGATTTGAATGGTCCCATAATGGCAAATAGGGTGTAACTTGTCATGCACCCTGGTGTGAATGGGGGCTTAAGATTGCTTTACATGGAATGGTTTTGGTTTCAAGAAACTAGAAACACACCACAAAAAATGGTTGCGTAATGCAGACATTACTTTCCAATGTGTTTGCATTTCTAAGGGGAATATAAGGGGCTTTAATGATCACTTATCTATTGATCATTTTTTTCACTGATGTGCCTTTTCAATAAAAACACAAAATAAAACGTGTGGGGAGAAAAGTTAGTTAACTTACTCACCTTTGTCCCACATAGGGAGTAGGGGTGTAGTTTGGAGATGTTTAGGACTTAGCCATCTCTTGAATGAGTAAATATGTATGCCTAATTAGTATATACCCATGGCCCTCCATTTTTCTTGATTGCAAATTATGTAAGCCAATTTTTAATTGACAATGTCACCACAATTGTTTTTCCCTTCTATTATTGTTTGTTTCCTTCTTTTCTCTTCTTAGACAGAATGGGCTCAATTTAACTGCCCACTTGGCCTATACCCCACTTTTACAATCTTTGATGGAAGGGTTCTCTCTCATTTTGAATGATCACGGTCGCTCAGTCGTTTCATGAACAACATAGAAGCTATCTTCTGGTAAATGCAAATATATTTTTTTTTTTGTGCTTTTTTTATGTACTCTGTTTATTATGGCTCTATTTACAATTCTACACAGGTGTGTAGAATCTCCCTGAGGAAGCAGGCTTTTGTCCTGCGAAACACGTTGGAGACGTGAAGAACGTAAAGAAACTACATATGAGCTATATATACACCTGTTGTATTATTTATGGAATTCTTGGAGTGATTTACAATAAGCTTGATGTTCTGTTTAGTCACAACTTGTAATGGTTACATGTTTTTATTAATAGAGCTGTTTTGATGCTCAATTTTTGTATTACAATCAACGCTTTTTAATGATGTTTAATGAAGTTTTGATTTTTTTTTTATTTTTGTACATAGTTTTGTTGGTATGGTGCCTAAAAAGCTCCAGTAGCTTTATTCTGGTTAGGGTTTTTCTATTTTTTCTGTGTCTCGCTTTACCGTAAAGTGATCTTAAAAGACACAAAGCAGAACACATGCTATGAGTGGGATGGGTTATACTGGGCTGCCTTATAGCTCCTTTTGCCAGTGTCCACTCTACAGTTGCACAACCCATCGTTCTTGAATTCCTCTGTGTCCTTTAATCTTCGATTAATAAAAAAGTATATAGTTCTGGTACAGCTCATCCATCAGCACCACATCCCTGAACATACCGTACATACTCGAGTATAAGCCGACCCGAATATAAGCCGAGGTACCTAATTTTACCACAAAAAACTGGGAAAAACTATTGACTCGAGTATAAGCCGAGGGTGGGAACTGAGGCACCTACTAGTCAATGTAAAAAATTGGTGTCAGTGGGAGGAATAGTGCCCCATCATTGGTGTCAGTGGGAGGAATAGTGCCCCATCATTGGTATCACTGGGAGGAATAGTGCCCCATCATTAGTGTCAGTGGGAGGAATAGTGCCCCATCATTGGTGTCAGTGGGAGGAATAGTGCCCCATCATTGGTGTCAGTGGGAGGAATAGTGCCCCATCATTGGTGTCAGTGGGAGGAATAGTGCCCCATCATTGGTATCAGTGGGAGGAATAGTGCCCCATCATTGGTGTCAGTGGGAGGAATAGTGCCCCATCATTGGTGTCAGTGGGAGGAATAGTGCCCCATCATTGGTATCACTGGGAGGAATAGTGCCCCATCGTTGGTGTCAGTGGGAGGAATAATGCCCCATCATTAGTATCAGTGGGAGGAATAGTGCCCCATCATTGGTGTCAGTGGGAGGAATAGTGCCCCATCGTTGTGTCAGTGGGAGGAATAATGCCCCATCATTAGTATCAGTGACACCAATGATGCGGCACTATTCCTCCCACTGACACCAATGACACTTGCTGACCCCTGTTGCAGTATGGTGCTGCTGCAGCCAGCATATGTGGTTGCAGCAGCACCTCTGCACTGCACACTTACCGGCTTTTCCCTCACTCGATTTTCGCGGGTCCGCTCGGCTCCGCCTCCTCGCCCGTGATTGGCCGCCTGTGTACCTTTCCTGGGCTACAGTTCTGGCGGCCAATCACCGGTGAGGAGGCGGAGCCGAGCGGCAGGAGTGAGGGAGTGGCCGGAGTGACGGAAGGAGCAGCGCTTCCTGGATGGATCATTGGGAGCCAGGTGAGAGACAGCAGCCCTCTGCCCACCCCTGTACGCGCCCCCCTTGACGGAGCCTCGCGCCCCCCCCTGGGGGGCGCGCCCAACTATCTGCAGATGTTGACTCGAGTATAAGCCGAGGGGGCCGTTTTTCAGCACAAAAAATATGCTGAAAAACTCGGCTTATACTCGAGTATATACGGTACATCAAAACAAAAGAAAATAAAGAAATATAAGGGATTTATAAGGTGCTCGTGGTACCCTCAGGAATATTGAATATTTGAATATTGTTTTCTTTATTTTCTTTTGATTAATAAAAAAGTCTACAAGAAGAAGAAAAAAATTAGGTAGTAAATTACTTAAACATTTCTCACCAGACTGTCCATCCTCCTATGACACTAGCATAAAAAATTAAGAATGGTGGGAGTGGTTATACCAGGCTGTTCACTGTTTTTTATTTGCCAGTGTACAAATGCTCCTGTAGATGGCAGTTTAACCCAAATGTCAATTAATCTTGTGTCCCTCAATAAATAAAAAATGTATAAAAAACTTTCTTTATGATTGCTTTAACTAACATCATATATATGCTTCTTATATCTTTCTATCTGTGTATAAACAGTGTGTCAGACAGTCCTTTCTTTAACAGCAGCTATATTTATGCAGCAACTCCCCATTGTCATTTTGACAGTCGGGCATTGCCATCAATGCTGTCAGCTTGTCACATGCAGACATGGTGGATACTACTACTAAAAACATTGCATGTTAATGGGTCACTATTATCACTAATCAGTAACCTGTCCCACAAAATATTGCACAGCTGACACTGAAGCAAGGGAATTTAATCACTTGCCTACAGGGCACTTATACCCCCTTCCTGTCCAGGCAATTTCCAGCTTTCAGCGCTGTCACACTTTTAATGACAATTGCGCAGTCATGCAACACTGTACCCATATGAAATTTTTATCATTTTTTTGTGACAGATAGAGCTTTATTTTGGTGGTATTTAATCACCTCTGGGTTTTTTATTTTTTCTTAAACAAACCAAAAACCACTAAAAATTTTGAAAAAAAAAAGTTTTTTCTTAGTTTTTGTTATAAAATTTTGTAAATAAGTGATTTTTCTCCTTCACTGATGTGCGCTAATGAGGCTGCACTGATGGACACTGATAGGTGACACTGATGGGGAGTCACTGGTAGGTGGCACTGATGGGTATTGACAGGCATCACTGATGGACACTGAAAGGCAGCACTGATATATGGCACGAATAGGCGGCACTGACTGGCACTGATAGGCGGCACTGACTGGCACTGATAGGTGGCACTGACAGGCACTGATAGACGGCACTGATGGGCACTGATAGGCGGCACTGACTGGCTCTGATAGGTGGCACTGACTGGCACTGATATGTGGCACTGATTGGCAGCACTGATAGGTGGCACTGACTGGCATTGATGGGTGACACTGAAAGGCAGCTCAGATGGGCACTGATAGGTGGCACTGACAGGCACTGATAGGCGGCACTGACGGGCATTGATAGGCGGCACTGACTGGCTCTGATAGGTGGCACTGACTGGCACTGATATGTGGCACTGATTGGCAGCACTGATAGGTGGCACTGACTGGCACTGATGGGTGACACTGAAAGGCAGCTCAGATGGGCACTGATATGTGGCATTGATGTGCACTGGTAGGCACTGATATGTGGCATTGATGTGGCACTGGCAGGTGGCATGGATGAACACTGAGAG